AAAGGACCAAAATGGTCTCTAAACTCTTTGAGAGGGACCAAAATAGTCCTCAACTATTTTGTGGGACCAATTTGATTGCTCAACTCCTCCTAATGGGATTTTTTAGTCTTGTTATACGATGGTAGAGTTGATGGTGTTAAATATGAGGATAATTTAGTTTTTTTTAATTAAAATATTTAATAAATGTAATTTTTTTTAGAAATTATTATTTTTGTAAAAAAAATTATTAAACATTTCTTTTTTCAACTCTCAACGTTGTAGGGGTTGTTTATTATATTTATAATTATTAATTTTAATTATTATTATCAAATAATCAATATAAATAATATAATTAAAATTTAAATTAATTTCCAATTAATATATTATTAATTATATTATATTTAAATTAATTTTTTAACTTTTCTTTACCCTTTCTCCACTGTTCGTAGCTCTTCGACATCACCTCCTTCGCGTGATGGGTAGAGTTTTGAACGACAAGCTAAATAACTTCACCTCCTTCAACGACGATCCTTCCTATCGGATCCAAAATCACATTTCTTTATTCGTCTGTTCGAAGGGAAGTAACAATGACAATGCCACCGACTTTCTTTCGTTCACGCACTTCTTCGTCAAAATCAATTGCAATCGAAAGTAACGACGATAATGGGAGCATGCTTGTTGAGAAGGTAGACACCTTTCTTCTGTACATGCGCTTCTTTGGCCAAATCAACTAAGATCATAAATAATGACGACAACGAGAGCTTGCTCGTTACAAAGGTAGCCATCTTTCTTCCATTCGCGCACTTCTTCGGCCAAATTGACTGCGATTGAAAGTAACAACAAATATTGGAGCTTGCTCCTTGCGAAGGTAGCCATCTTTCTTTCATTCAAACGCTTCTTCTTTGCAAGTTCTGTTAATACCCTCTGCCCATCTCACTTTTCTATTTAAAATTGACAACAAGACCAAAATAGTCCCATTTGAAAGAGTTGATGGACAAAATTGGTCCCTCAAAATAGTTGAGGACTGTTTTGATCCCTCACAAATATGTGAGGGATCATTTTGGTCCATTGATTAAACAAAATGTGCAAGAAAAGATAAAAAATAACAAGCTTTGTTATAAAAATTAATTTAGATGTAAAAACTCAAAAACTCTAAAAATTTGGAAAGATATAAAGAGACATGTAATGAGTCTAAAAAAGCAATATGCGACGCAAATATTTTGGTTTTTAATGATTTATACAATAGATTAAATACTAAATAGTGTGAAAGATATATGTATAAGTTAATAAAATAAAGAGATAGGAGTAGTTATAATATAGTTCAAGTGAACTGCATTAAAGATGAAATAAAAAAAGTGTTTTTTTAGAAAAGGATATTCAATAAAGGTGGATGGAATACTTTACTAAACTTTTTAATGAAGATTATGAAAATACGATTTACTTTATTGACCTTAGTAGTCTAAATGAAAATAAAGATTTTTATTTTTATCGGCGTATTAGTAAAACTAAAGTTAGAGAGGTTTTAAAGGAAATGAAATATGAAAAAATTGTTGGACCTGGTGATATTTCAATAGAGCTATGGAAATGCTTTGGAAATGCTTAGGAGATGAAGGAATTTCTTGGCTTACTAAGCTTTTGAAAACTAAAAAGATATCAGATGAGTGGAGAATGAGTGTGTTAATGCCTATTTTTAAGAATAAAGATGATGCACAAGATTGTGTGAATTATATAGGAATTAAGGTGATGTGTCATACTTTAAAATTATGGGAGAGTTATGGAGCATAGGTTATGCCGTGATACTAATGTTTCTCAAAATTAATTTGGATTCATGCGGGTAGATCTACTATGAAAGCTATACATTTATTGAGAGGTTTGATGGAGAAGTATAAAGAGAATAAGGAGGTTCTACATATGATTTTTATTGATTTAGAGAAAACATATGATAAAGTTCCAAGAGAAGTGCTATGAAGAGTTCTAGAAAAGAAAAGGGTTAATAATACTTATATTCAAGTCATTAAGGATATGTATACATGAGCTGTTAATTGTGTTCAAACACAAGGTGGTTTGACCAATTATTTTCCTATTGCAATTGGATTACATTAAGGATCAGCCTTAAGCCCATGTCTTTTTTTCTTTAGTTATAGATGTTCTTACTAGACATTTGCAAGAGCATGTACCCTGGTATGTTTTTTGCTGATGATATTCTTCTTGTTGATAAGACTAGAGAGGGAGTTGAAGGTAAACATGAATTATGGAGGTCAACCTTAGAGTCTAAAGGTTTCCGTTTGAGTAGATTTAAAAGCGAATACATTGAGTATAATTTTAGTAGTAATAGATATATTTAGGGCTTCTGACTTTAAGTGATCAAGTCATTAATAAAAGTACACATTTAGATGTCTTGGTTCAATTGTTCAGAGTGATGGTAAAATAGATGGGGAGTAGAATTCAAGTTAGTTAGTTCAAGTGGAGGAATTCATCGGGCTTGTTGTGTGATAGAAAAGTACCACTGAAACTTAAAGGAAAATTCTATAAGATTCAGAGATGATGATGCTTAGGTGGATGAGTGTTTTTACTCTTAGAGACAGGCAATGTTTAAAATTGCGTATTCGGGTATTGAGGCGTTTTTCGTTCGTGAGGCGAGGCGTAAGCCTCAAGGCGTTTTAAGGCGTAAGCCTCAAAATCAAAAGATTGCGTAAACGTAAAATGATAAATTTTTTATATACTAATGAGTGAATAATATAAAACATAAAAAAAAAACATAAGATAAGAAGTGAAATCAAAATATCTCAATAATAAGACAACATGAAATATAGTTCAACTCAAAATTCTATATTTTTCAAATCCCAGTATTCTTTTCATTAACATATAATTCCAATTTCCAAAAATAAATAGCAATGACATATCACATAAGAACTCATAAGTCATCAGCACTGTTATCACTAAGGGGTTCTTCATTTGAATCATCATTATGGTGAACTGCTCTCTCCTCTTCCTCCTCTCCTATAGAGTTCAATGTTGACATTTACTTCAAGATTTATGTAAGTTTTAATATATATAGCGTGAGGCATAAGCCTCAAGCCAGTGAGGCGAGGCGGGCCTCAAGGTGGGCCTTAACCAAGTTGAGGTGCAAGCCTCATAAAAAAAAACTCGAGGCGTAAGCATCGAGGCATTTTTTACTGGAATTGCGCAAAGGTGGGCCTCAAGGCGAGCCTCATATTGCACAATTTTAAACCATGGAGACAGGATATGAAATGATCATATACATGAAAAGGTTGGAGTAGCCCCAATGGAAGATAAGAAAAGAGAGAGTCACCTTAAATGGTTTGGTCATATAAAATGGTGATCTCCGATGATCCAGTTAGGAGAATTGATGTATTAGATTTGAGCTATGTTAAGAAAGGTAGAATTATTTAGAATATGTATTACTCATAGGCCTTTTAAGGATGCTGGCATGACTACCAAGAACTTTAAGGAAGAATGATTATATTTTTGTAGTAGAGGTTCATTTTCTAAAATGTCTCATTTCATTCTGTCATAAAATTGCATGGTTCACATTGCCAACCTGTATTTCCATGTGTGATTGAATTGCATTGATTACTTAATTTATTGTGTCCGGTAGAGATGTAAAATTCATGCGAAATTTCTAGAAACATGTGATTCAATTGAAATTTACATTTTTCATTCGAGATATCCTATAAGATTTGTGTGCTTATAACTCACAAGCTAATGAAAAAGTTTGAGATATTTAATAGCAGTTTGGGTGATCTTCAGATAAGTCAAATTAAAGAGCATGCATCTAGCTTGGATTCATATTATACAACTGAGTTTGTGTACAATTCATCTATTAATAGATCTGCAAGCATAAGTCCATATAAATAGTTACAAATTTTTAACCTAAAAAGCCAATAGATTTTGTTGAAGTTCCTACTTAGTCCATGTCTACAAATTTAGTGGTAAAAAGAATTGTGCATCAAAAGAGAATAACAAAGCAACACTAGATCATTACCAAGCAAAGCCTTAGTAGGAAAGGTGAGAAACGTAACCCTCCATAATGATTCATAATAGTCAAGTGATGCACCCCTTCTCACGAATTCATCTTCACTACATAACTCCTGTTGGCACTCCTCTTCATTCACATCAATATCCCTTGGCTGACTTGTCCTCCTGCTTCATAACTTATATAACTAGCCGCTGACTTCTACATGCAATTCTACTGTTCTACTAGAGCTTCTAGAAGAAGGAAAGGAAAGCTTCAGTTCAAGGATTTTTTATCCTTGAGAAACATACCAAAGTCCATCTCCTTCACTCAACTCTACAGTATCTTTTCATCTTATATCTCTTGCTTGAATTATTTTTTCATGGGAGCATTTAAGACTTCAAAATCGAAGGAAATGAGAATTAATGTATGGTTGATTCCACAAAAGATAATACAGGAATAGCTAGTTATACCTCATGAAAAAAAAACTGGTTACATTTCCTTAAGATCCCACATTTTAAATACTCGGGATTAAAGATCTGAATTCTTATCAGGAAATAAAAAATGCATGTCAGTCTATACACAGAAAGTGATTCCTTGAATGAAAAATAGCCAAACAAGCACCTTCCTAAAATCAAGTGTCACCCGTCATTGCAAATTTGCCACAATGTAATACGTCGAATTTATTTCCTCCGGAACTCAGCTAACCAACAATAATATCTAGCACTAAGCAGACATTAAGCACAGATAGAATTCAAAACCAGCCATGATAGGCCCTGTGTACAAACCTCGACAGACAATAATATGAGTTCTTCATAAGGAGAAAAAAAAAACAAGCTTTCTTGCATACACAAATTGATAACAATAAACCAATCAAACGCCTTTTAAAATTCAATGATCAACCAGCATTGCCAATTTGAAATAATGCATTAAGCACGAACGACATTTATTTCCTCCGAAAAGCAGCAAGGCCAATAATAACTTCGACCACAAAGAAGAAAAATCAAGCACAGGCAGAACGTAAATCCAATTATGAGATACAAACCTTGTAGAAAGCGCCGAAGCCCTCTTGAGAAAGCATATTCTTCGTGACCTGCACAGCCGATCCCTGTCCTAGCTGGATCCTTACCTGGAATCCAAACATAACCACCTCAAAACTCAAAATCCCACCAATCCCAATATAAAAGTCAACATCATACACAGCGGCAGAACAAATAATATACATAGCTACAAAAATATTAATGGAAGAAACTTTCATGATAGACATAACTACAGATGAATTTGTCCAAACTTAGTTGGGAGAGACACCCCCAAACTTCCCTGATTCCGTCGTTGATCATGCGCTGAACATTCGATCCCTCTTCTACAACAAACAGATTACCCAGCTAATCTACACTAAAAGAACCAGATTCTTCACAAGACAAAGATTGTCAGTGCACCTTGATCATATCGATTGGTTGGATGACGCAGGTTGCAAGCATGCCGGATGCTCCGCCGTTAACGAAGGGCTTGACCGTGTTCCAGACGCCGGATTGGCTCTTGGGCTTCGCCTCCCCCATTTCCTACGTCAAGCGAAAGGAGAAGGCGGAGCAGAGGGGAAAGCGGAGCCGGCGGCGAGTTGAAATCGAAGAAAGTAGGGAGAACGGGAGGACAGGAGAGAGAAGGCGATTACCAGGATCTAAATCTCGCCGATCGGGTCGGGTCGGGTCGGGTATATCTGATGGCTAGAACTTTGCGTCTGGTCTGGCCCCGTCAGCAGTTGTTGGCTTTTATTACGGGGGAAGATTAATGCCACGTGTTTTGTTAACAGCCACACGATGAGATGGAGCCCAGTGCCAATTCCGTGAATAACGGCTTTTTCGGAAAAACTAAAAGCTCTAATTAACTTTTTAATAAAAAATAAAAAAATCCCCCCTCCCTTTTAATATAGGATGAATTATTTATATTATGTATTTCATGTTTTAATTTGTTTTTTTTTTTTAAGAAAAGCATTAAAATACTGCTAAATTCATTATATATTTTTATTTGACTGTTAAAAATTGGACAAAATTTTAAAAAAGTTATAATTAAAAAATAAATATAATTGTAAAAAATTAAAAAGGATTATTCTAAAAATATAATTAGCATTTCTTAAAAAATGCTAATTAGATTTTTTAAGAAATACTAATTAGATTAGCATTTTTTGAATAAAATTTAAAAATTTGTTATTTATATATGTAATAAATAGATAATGTATTACTCATATGGTGAGAATTCTAGTTTTAAAAGCTTATGACCCCAAAAAATTATTCTATGCGGATCCCGTACAGCTTCCGGAAATCAATTAGAACTCGCCCCAACACTTTTTGCTCGGTAACAATGCTTGTTACCACTGGATACCAGGTGACATGACGCGTTTGTTTCCGGGCCGTCTGGTGTCCCCACAGAATAATTTCTCCATGTTCAAAACTCACCAAACTAATATTTAGGAGTTATGCTAATAAGTTTTAAAAAATAATGTTGGTCACACTAACCTAAGATGAAACTAATCATAGTTTAGATAATGAAGGTATGTATCGATCAGTTGATAATATGACAAATATTGATGATGAAGCCTCTAACCTATCACTATAAGAAAATGGCTCAATAGCGAACAAAAAAATAGAGACAATAAGAAAATGGTCGTTAAAGATATCTATTAGCGATCAAAATTAAGTAAAGCCTCTAAATAATTAGAAAGCTTAATATTAACCATAAAAAAGGAAAAATGGCTGCTAATTTTGTTGCTAAAAGTCTAGAGATTTTTTTCAACTATATATATGTCATTTTAGTGACTAATGATTATTTTCACTTGTGTACATAATACATTTTAAAAATATCATAAACATTCTACATAATGACAATTATTTTTAAACAAAATTTAGGTTGAAGTATGGATGATTTGTTTGCAAAAAAAAATAAAATATGGTGTAATTGATTAATCGTTCACTTTTTATAAAATATATGTTGGAGTTGCCTTAAATTTGGGTCGTCCCCTATTTGTTCATATACGAACGTCATACACTTCGCAAATATGTTGGGGGTCTAAAAGGGCAGCATCCCCTGGGGGGTTTCAACACATTTTGGTTATAAGGATATTTTTGGAATTCAAATTAATAAATAAAATGATGAATTCAAATTAATATTCACACTTTTAAGACAATAGATCTAATGATTTATTTATAAAATAAATTATAATATAAATTATTTAAATTTTAACAACTACTTATGAAAATAAAACTATGCATTACCAAAACCTATACCTACGACTCTCACAATCTCACCTTCTCACGCACACGGGCATCTCTCGATTTCACTACTCCAGTTTGCCCTAGGTTTTGCTCTTTAGCAACGACCTCCAACTGTAATCAACCTAATCCACATTTAGCCTCCACAACTCCACCTCTCTGCGCGCTGATATGAGTTTACTCCCTCAAAATTATTTTGACAATCCCGCAAACTCGCTGAAAGTTCGTTAAGGATGTTAAGCCCTATGAACTTAGTCCTAAGCTAACCAAGAGGGGGGTGAATTGGTATTTTAAAATTTCTTTTCACAAAGAATGAAAATCACATAAACAAAAATCACACCACAAAAATAAATGCGGAAATAAAAGTGCGGAAGCAAGAAAACAAGAGCACAGGAATTTATAGTGGTTCGGTCAACCCGACCTACGTCCACTCCCCGGAGGCGCCCTCTGAGTATTGCACTACAAACGTGACTCTCCTTTAGCCCCCACAGCTAGGCAGAGAAGCCTTTACAAAGCACCTCCTTTTTGCCACCCCGACAAGGCAGAGAACCTACCTCCTTTTGCTTCCTCCTGAAGCTGGCAGAGAACCACAACCAAAAGCTAACTCCTTACCTCTACCGACCCTTGCTTGATCGTCCCAGCCGATCAGTTCAAATTAGAGGAAAATCATCCAGAGCATCGTCCTGAATTCGAGCTGGTCGATATTTATCGTCCTGAAGTAACCAAAGTTTTTGAATAGATCGTCCTGGTCGATATTGCGATCGTTCAGGACGATATGATCGTATCAATCATCCTTAATTACTCCCTTGATTTTCTGATCAATTAAGGCATAATTTGTGAATATCATCTAGGCTGATCAATGATCGTCCTAGTCGATAATTTAAAAATACAGTATACCTTAATTGTCTATGGCGGCAACTTCTTTCTGTTTTGAGCTTATCGTCCAGGCCGATATGTTATTGACGGCTGCCTTAATTAAGAATCCTTATTTAGACTTTCTGTTTTAAGCCTGATCGTCCAGGACGATGTAAAAATCATCCTGGCCGATATGAGTAAAAACAGAAATTCTAAGTCTCTCAAGTGTGTGTGTGTGTAAGGTTACTTAGCATCAGTCTCTTTGACCATTACAAATAGACTCAACAAGAGAAAAAAACAAAGTACAGACTGACTCAACCCTAAACCTACGCAATCTTAAACTGGCTTTGTTTGTTCGTCCGATCTCTTCGATTCCTGAAAAGTTAGAAGAACCAAGTAGTCCAAGAAAATCAATAGTGTTTGTCAATCATCAAAATATAAGTCATGAAAATAGATTTGCAATAATCTCCCCCTTTTTGATGATGGCAAACACAAGTAGGAAAAAAACTCAGAAAAATGGTTCACTAGAAATTCAAAGTTACAAGCACATACCCTTTTTCCTACCACATCCTACTCCCCATTTTGTCATCACAAAAAGAGGGTTCAGACACACAAAAGAAAAAGAGAAACAACACAACAGAAACTAAAACAGACTAAAAAGACAAACTACATAAAACAGGAAACAAACAGCAGAAAACACAGACTAGAAAAATGAGGGACCCTAATCAGATGGAGGTGATGGAGGTGGCTGCTGAAAGATCCATTACCGGGTATGAAGTGTGGGAAGGATTGATGATTATGGAGATAGTTATCCCACACTCTTTGTACCGATGGTAGGCAGCCTGATCCTCTGCCTCTCTGAATCGAGGGTCCAGAGTGGCCCTCGAGGAACTCCTAGAATCCTATCGAACTCGTTTCCCACCGGCCATAACAAAGGATTAGCAAGGAGACACAAGAGGAGAAGGGATGAGGTGAAAAAAAATGGCTGGATCGGCCAGAATTTAAAGAAACGGCTATATCGTCCAGGCCGATCGCAGAATCGTCCAGGCCGATATGGCTCAATAATTGCGTACAGGCCGATTGATCAAAAAGGCGGTCCGATCGTCCGGGTCAATCAGATATCGGCCAGGACGATTAGACACAGGCGATCATCCCGAGGAGACAATCCGGACGACCGTTGAAAAAGTAGATCGTTCAGGCCGATTAGGTGTATCGTCCAGGACGATGCACAATAATTGATTGTACCGGCCGAAGTTAAAACGTTTTAAATTTCTGCCACGTGTATCGTTCAGGACGAACAGTGGATCGGCCTGGTCGATTGTCCAATAATGGATCGTCCGGGGCCGATTTTACGGATGTAAACGTGTTGACACGTTGATCGTCCAGGACGATCCAGTGTATCGGCCAGGAAGATGCACATAAAATGCATCGGCCAAACAAAATGTTATATCAGTCAGGACTATCATCATGATTGCAATAGAGTTTGATCAGATCGTACAGGACGATACATGTATCGTCCATGACGATGACTTACAGCAAGCACAGAAAAGACCAGCAGATGGAATTTGAAGAGATTTTGTCCTATCGTTTAGGACAATAAAAGTATCGGCCAGGACGATGTGACTAGAAAATGAAACCAAGAAAAAGATGGTGATGATTAAGGCCCTCAAGAAAATAAAACAAAAGAAAAATAGACAAAAACACAATAAAAGAAAGCAAAAACACAACAAAAAAAAATGAATATTTTTGAAATTTAAATTTTCTAATTTTTTTTTTGTTTTATGGAGGTATCATATGAGAAGTAAAAAAAAATTAAACTTTAGAGTTCCACAAGATCAAGGAGTTTAGCCAATCCCAATCAGACAAAGGTAAAATATCCGATTCTGTTAACCCTAGATGAGACGTTCTTTATGGTATAAATTTTCTTTTGAAAATAAAAGGGCTTAACTCAGAATAAACCTAATCGGGCAAAAAGAAGATTCAATCAAAACTTATTTACAAAAAAAATCTCATAAATAATAAAACAATGTAATTTTTCTCAATCATGAAACTTGAAATCAAGTCTTTGAAAATCTCATATAACCCATAAGTTATTCTAAGTTTTAAAAGTTTTTAAAAAGAGAGGATAGCTTACCTTTTAGTGGGCTTATTTTATGCCTCTTGTATCTTTGATTTGGCTCTTTGAGCATCTTGATTTTTGATACACATTTGTGTATATATTTTTCTTTTTCAATTTGGCGTCATTGGCCTCTTTCTTTTTTAATTCTTGCAAGCTAAAAGCTCTTTTGCAAACTCTTAAAAGAAGCTCAGTTGTGAGTATATCCTCCAAATATTAGAGAATAGGAGTTCTCTCTCTAACATAGGAAAGAATAACCCACAAAACAAAATTAAAGAATCATATGATCAGTGCAAGAGCAAGATCTCAAATAACTTGAGAGATATATAAGATATTTGGATATTATGCAAAAGATAGATTTTTTGTAGCAATATAAAAAGAATCTTAGTTTCAAAAACCATTGGCTAAAGTGAGTTAGGCTTTTGTTTAGAGAAGAAAGTCATACCACTAAATAAGGTCGGAAGGAGGGAAACCATCAACGGTGTTTCT